AAATTGTAAGGGATCCAAAGTTCGGGGACTAAAATGTAAATACTTAAAAGTTGTGCCGAACCTCACGATGAAGATTTGAGAGTGCTCGGAGTCAATTGGATAAAGGAAGACGTCAATGGAATCAAATTTAGTCAAAAAATGATCACAAATCAATTTCCAACCGAAAAATTATGTTTCGATGTTTTAGTCTCATATTGAGACCTATTTTTGGTATAGAATCGAATTGGAGAATGATGTCTGAATCAAAGTTGTAGCCAGATGAGTTAGCTTTCCAACGCATTTTGAGTCGCTTCAATCGGATATCGGAATACAAAGTTATGATAAAAATACCGAATGAAGGTGCAGCTGCTTGTTTAAAACAAGAAATTCCGTTACATAGTATGTTAAAATAACAAATTCCGTTAGTTTTTCCGTTAAAAACAAGAAATTTCGTTACATAGCCACTTTTAATATATAGAAGATTTAGCCCTTATTTGATACTCATTTTATGGAAGAATTTGATTTGAAATAGTGATTGATGGAAAAAAGTGTGGTTAAAAAGTAAGGAAAATTTTTGAGTTTATGTGTAATATTATTTTATTGATAGAATATGTGGTTAAAATGGAGAAAGAGAAAAAAAAATGATAAAGAGAATAAGAAAAAAATGGGTATCAAACATAGGCTTAATATGATGAAGACAAGATGTTGATCGTTGCATGTTTAGAGAAAAGGGGTTGTACTTCTCAACCGTTTGTTAATCTCGAAAAATGTGCCAACAGAATCTCGGTCGCATCCCTTTTTCGTAGACATCACCTGCACACTGGAACACTCAATTAGGAGACAAATGCCACCGGTCGAAAAAAAAAGGTTTGACGATCGTTTGCACTCCAACGATCAAGTCAACGACCAGACAAGAGAGAAAATAAATACAAGAGATAGGAGAAGGGATTTTGTTAGGGCTAAAATACCTTATTATGAATGAAATTCACATATATATAGGAAAATATAAATTGGCGAAGTGGGTGCTAAGGAAATAGGCCAAACCAAGCCAATATGTAAATAATTTTTATATAAATTATGCCTGACAAGCCCTAAATCTATTTGGTACTTGGAAAATTAAGAAAATTAAAAGTGAAGATAAAAAAGGTAATTATATTCATATCACATCTTTTATTTCTTGTACAATATTTTAATTGCACTTTAAGGTTCTTAATCTTTGTTCATAATAACATTTATGTTCTTAATGATTTTTCATATAATTCTTATCATCAAACTTCTCATTAACTAACACATTTTGTATTTGGTAATAATTTTATGTCCAAAAATCTATTAAAATGGTGTAAAACAACTTATTTTTCACCATATTTTAAAAAATAATAATAATAAAAGTGCGAAAAATATTTTTCCCCTGCATCGAAGCATGTAAATAAATTTTTTTATATAAATTATCATTAAGGACAAGACGTACTAAATAATATGAGATCGAAAATAAGAATTCGACAGAAAAATTAAGAAAATACTTGCTAAAATGAGTAA